TTATGTGAGAATTTTCGCCAAAAAAATCGTCGATTTTTTCGCTCGTTTACGGTAGACGTTGGGGTATCTTGCGAAGTAGCCAAGTGGATCGAGGGGTTCAAATATAGCTATATTTTGCGTACTCGATATTTGATAATTATCGTGATTTATTTCCGACGGATATTCTTATGAGCGGGGAGCGATAAGCCAAGCTGGAGAGCGGTAAAGGGACCTCTCCAATGATGAACGAGCCCTTGGGGCACTCAATGCCCACACCCAACAAGACGCTTTACTTTCTTCTCAAAGAACCTACCACCTGATGGGCAACTATGGCGGGCGCACGGTCAGCGTTCTTAGTCTAACGTTAACGTAGGGAATATAAGATAGAGAACTTTTTACCGAGAAATCTAACTAGTCGTGAATTTACGCGTTTCATTAATTGTCATTATGATATTAGCAAAGTTTTTTTGTTATAAGCAAGCTAAATTCTATGTGTGCCGCGAACTAGGTGTTACACACAATACCGTGAGTGTACGGAGTCGAGAAGCACGAACGAAAGGAAGCGTAAAATTGTCTTCAGAGACAAAATTTACTTTCATTATATTATGCAACAATGATCATGTTATTCGGACTTACATATGATCACGCGAAACGCAGAAAGTATACCTCCAAAAGGAGCATTCTTTCCTCGATGGGCAGACCTGTGCTAATATCGCTAGCCGCCGATGGGTTGGTCAGGTGAGCTCCAACTTGGCGATTATGTCATAGTTAATCTATAGCACGAAAATAACTCTGCTGCCTTATTGTTTACATAAAAATGAGTTAGATGGAGGAAAATAGTCGAAATGTAGTAATCGGAACCTGCTGGTTCCGATACGTTCATTGTAACGGCACTCTTTTGAGTGCGTGATTTAACGTGTTCAAACTGTGCTTTTAGTTATAAAGACCAGGTCGAAACTTTTTGTTCTATCTTCTATTCGTATAGTTCAATGAAAATGAAACAATGCTTTAATTCATCTAGCATCGATAGTGATTGAACCACTCTACAAAATCTGGACCTGTATAAATTGCCCCTTTGACCGTTATTTCTCGCACCATAGACGGTTTTCGGTTGAAAAACCAAGATAACACGGCGTATCGAACACAATGCGCAGTGTCAGTAGCTGCGTACGCTATAAGATCAACGTCAGTATGAGTAATGTGTGCATAACCTGTTCATATCATGGAGTCTGGCGGTAGACGCCTCCTTTTTCGGCAGAAGCCGCCGCATTGAGACAGATATTCTACAAGGTAAACGAGGCAGACCATCTTCTGCCCATAAATTAATCCCCACAATAGTCTATGAAAATAATAACAGTGGTAATCATAACAGTTCCTGAAGGCGAAAGGCGCAGGACGGCTTTTTTCTATTCGATAAGATTTAGGCTACATAGCTTTGGCGGTATACATAGTCCCAATGCAAGCTATTCTTCTGAAGAAAATAGGCCCACGTGGATTGCAGATGGCAGTATGGACGACAATCATAGAGCATACTGGACAGGTTCAATCTTACTTAAAATATAATAATAATAGCGCATTAACAGTAGTAATAACAACTAGGGAACACAAGCCGCTGGCAACTATGCTGTTTTGGCTGTGAGTAATTTCGCAAATAAGGCTTATGAATAAACCTTCTGAGATGAAAATGTATGTGTATACGTCCTTTTCCTTTCCTTATTTTTTTTTACTTATTTTACTTCCTACTAGGTGTGCCATCGCAGTCCTCCTTCTGTATAAGCTGGCTCGCTCAGCTCTTATTGGGTGTATATTGATACTCGATACGATAGCTATCGGTTCACCGTTGAAAACGCTTTTTTAAAGAACAGATTAATAAACTAATAGGTCTGCTTGTAGATGTTCTCCGGTCGCTGTAGTCGTTCATCGGCTCTTAGAGTTTGAACCCGTTATTGTTATTATACCCGAAACCCGCTTCCTTTTTCTGGGGCGAATATTTGGATAATAAGTAGTTAAACAAATTATGCTGCGGCCTAAAACTTTAAAGGATGTCATGTACGAGTAAAAATACTAATTTTAAATCGAACAGCGTACCGAATAGTGATTGATAGTACCGAAATCCAAATACTTACAATAGAATCGCTTTAGTCTAAAGGAAATCTTCCCACGTGTGAGTTCCACAATCCTGAAATGTAAACCTAACCTCTAACTCGTTGAAGTCATATTTTGCATACATTATGACCATGATATGACCTGTAGCTCTTATTACTAAAAACCGATAAGTAGTCTAAGACGCATCTACCATGTTCCGTAATTGTGTCACGTAAATTTGGTACCTATTTATGCATTTAATAAAAACAAATTCTTAGTGTGTTACCACGACAATAGATAGGATAGGATAGGAAGCCTTAAATATATTCTTTTCCAAACGGAGAGATTCATAAACGTTTTACTTCACTAAAAGTTGCATCATAATTCTTAGCCTTAAGTGCAGTGCTGCTGTAAACTACTGTTTTAGATGAATAATTGTAAAAAAAAAACTTACATACTTAGAAATTGTCAACTTTAATAGCATTGGTAATTAACTACTAGTTGATCCCAGTCGCTTTGACACATGTTATTAGTAAGAAGGGAGCGTTGCAGTAGTCAATAAAATACAGAGACTTCGTGAACGAAAATCTTGGCCAATTTAAGCGCCCGTCTCGACTAGTCGAACCCGCACTACAGCCCCTTCTTGACACGCTCGCGGGCTTTGGTTGCTGAGTAGTAGTAGTAGAATCCTAGTTCCAGAGGCAGGCAGTTCGATCATCGATATATGTGCGTTGAACGTAAATAGATACAGGATAAAGTTCCTGGGTGAAAACTATTCTTTATCAAGCATTCGTGCTCACCTATGAATGGAAAGACGACCTTACTGTCCAAGTTGCAGCTGCGCGAACTGTTAGCTTCGTCGCGACGTTTAGATATAAGCAGGCTTCCGGAACGCAGCCACGAAGTTCTTCCTGTACCTGACATCAAGAATGCCAGAACCTACGTGCAACACCTGGTTAATATTATCCAGCCTACTGCCCCTCCTCCCGGAAGCATACGCTATTGAACTATATTTCCAGCCTCGTCCGGAGGGCTTACGGCCAAGATACAGCCAGAGTTCTACCCTTTGGCTTCCTCTTAAAAAACAGTTTGTCGAAATGCCCCTTATCGAAATCCTTTGTAGAAATCCATTTATATCCGATACAAAACGTCAGGTATATAAAAGGCTAGCGCGCTAGGGTAGTTCGACCACTAGCTCAATTAGCTCCTCGTTCGTTATGAATCACTTGTCGGAGATGTTCGTGTCAGGGCATATGATACTGCGTGTGGTGTCTTTTGGGCCGATACGTGAAAAGAAGATATATCAATACAACTCGATATCCTCTTGATTTCACAGTGCAGGAACCAATGCAATGTACTGGGGGCTTACGCAGTTAGAAAGCCGTCAGTCCGATAGGTCTGCAATGAGCGTTTCAGATGCGCCGTCGTTCTTGCACCGCGTTTGACGGCACTAATCAATAAGTAATTACAGGCTGCTACACCTTAAGTCCAGTAGAAAGATGCTGCAAGTTAGCAATTTCTGAATCCGACCCGACCCGACCCGACCCGACCGCGCTGTTATCACAGTGAAAAATGACAAAGAAAAGCTGTTCACCGGCTTGCTGATAAAGAAACTGAACATCCGTGAAAGTATTCCAACGAAGTAACATAGGTTCGGTAAGGAACGCTTCATAAACATAGCGCGCAGTATCACGATAGCCAGCAGGAAGAAAACACAGGCCGTACCGTGCAATGCGCTATATACGGTATTCGTCAACTCCAGGATAGACCTTGATTTGGCAACCAGGGACAAAATTATGCTCACGTTAGCCGAGATCGGCGTCTCAACGAATATGCTCAATCTTTCGCTGGAATTCCACAGGAGAACAGGATAACCGTCGACGACGGAGTGGCCAAACAGCTTCAGATGCAGGGCAAATGGTGAAACATATCATATTGCCCACTGCACCCTGGTACTACCTCTAGGACATCTGCTAGATCCTTCAAATGAGTTTTACAAATTTAACGAAATTCGTATAACCCGTATGAAGCAAACTTTTTTAAAAGGCTCTGTATACCCTTCCTGATATTAAGATAGCGTTATTGAGTTGTATTTTCAAAGTTTTTGATTACCACTAGCAAGACTGCATAGACACAATTTTACCTAAAATCTCTGCTAAAGCAGTCGATGTTGATTAGAAATAAGGAAGAGGTGTCACCGTCGACGCTTCGGGTTGCAATGGCGCGTAAAGCTTCCGTGGTGGTTGTCGGTCGACGAACTATTTTGTTAAAGAAGAACGACAATAAATAGATGCGCAGTGTGACGATGCCCCGGATGTAGTAATATAACGTAGAATACATTATAATTCAACTAGAACTAATTGCGTATCGTTCTATGTTACATACATACATACATACATACATACGAGTTATGCCAGCAAATATCAAATCTGGTAATTCATGTCAAAGAAGGATTCTGCTGGCAACATTTCCTACCAATGTGTAGGATATCTTCTGTGTTCCGCCGGCAGAGTGATGGTGCAGACATGATGGCAACAGAACGATAGAATTAAAAGAAAAAACCAATGAAGAATGATCACAGCGGCACATTTGTAATGTAGATTTTCATTTCTGTACTAATTTTGACGATCCCAGCTCCGCCTAAGGGTCTTTCGTCTCGTTGAATGGAAAATCCGCTTATAGCAAGTACTACTGAGGAAAAACAAGCAGCTATGCGAATTTTCCTTAAGTGGCGAGTACACGATATGAGTGCGATAGCGGAAGTGACTATAACACGATCATATAAGCCCCCGACTTCCACCTATGACTTATCGTTTTTACAGGATAAGCGCAGCGCGTACCATCGGCTAAACGGTGATTGTGCAGAGGTAGAGGTTGCCGCCAGGGCAAACACAGAAGAGTCTTCATTTCTATTACTTCGAAATTTATTGGTAAGTTTTGCCTAACGTTGTTCCCTATAGTAGTAATAGATATCGTGAGATAGATCCGCGCAGCTCGTATTCGAGTGAATTTGAGCTAGTCTCACTTTAGCTAAAGAATAGTCGTTCGACCGATATTCTTATAATCGCTTATCTGAATTTACGTGTTTCAGATCGTGTTTGAGATCAGAAAATTCAAAAAGTAGCGATATAAAATTATATTTCCAGTATTTTTCAGCCAGCAAATCAATTACTTGCTACATAACTTTCTATACGGAAACTATGTTATCCTTTTTAAAAAAAGAAAAGAAAGGAAAATTCACGAGGTATTTAGCCGTTATTTCGTAGTAACGAATTTGTAGTACGATCTATTTTCGATAGAATTTGAACACGGTATTGCGACACATATAGCAGTAGAGAGCATAATTTCTGGTCTCGTTAAATCGACAATGGTTGCGAAGCGCGCAGGGACTGAGTACATCTGTAATTCTTCCTATTCGATGACTATTTAGCTAGAAGATCAACGTTAGTTGAATTAAGAAAGGCTGTATCGTCATATCATTGGTTAACCTTTTTTAAGAAATTTAGCCAATACGTCCTGCGCCTTGTTTTCGAGTGGCGCACATTATCCGGTCTTGCAATTGGCTACCACTTTCTGAGCCCGTTCGAAATAGTCTTATATACGTTCCTGACTCCAGCCCTAGAAGTGAACGTGTATCTTCAGCGAATACCCACAGTCTTTTTTTCCTAGGCGGATTTTTCTAGACTAATCACTTTGTGTAAAATCAACTGTCTCATTGACCGGTTGGTTAAACGGTGCCGTCCACACGTGCAGCTTAAATAGAACTCAATAATATTTCGTTCAGATTCTATTAAACTGAATGAGATTCATAATCCTATAACATCATGATGGTCTGCCGTCGCAGCCCTTTTCAAGTATCGTTAGCAGTTACCTTTGGAGTCGATCTTTCGAGATCTTCAAGATTGTATGATGAGCTTCGCTTTGGGATTTGCGGAAATCAATTTGAAATCGTTTACGTTCGGCCTTTGTTAGTGCCTTGTCGTCGCTAACCTAATATGAACCGGCAGGGAAATTCACTGGCTAAGGTAATTAGACAATAAAATAGACGTACTTCACCGTACTGCAGATTATTCTACCAGCTAATTATATTAATGCGAAACACATGGCAGCAAACTATTAAGCAGCAAATTAAGCAGGAACGAAGCTCTACTCGTTAGACATAGTGAATTACTCATTGGCCCTATTCTCATCATGTAGATCGAAGATGTCCCTCACGCCACTTCGCATTTCACCTCTCTGACGATCCATTCCACCTCTGCGCCGAAATGTTCTTCGATTTCCTTGAACGTGGCGTCCGTATCTTCGACAGTGTCGTGAAGTACCGCGGCGCATAGAGTAACTGCGTCAGTGATTCCGTACTCCACTAGATGATACGCTACGCCTAATGATAAGATCCGACAGTCGAGTGAACGTAACCCAAATATCACCCCAATTATACAGCATTCGCAAGCGTACAAGAAGCTAAAAAGCTTTTCCTTTCGAAATTTTCGGTTCACTTGATCGTTATACTCTGATGTTACACTTGACCTTATCTTGCGTTTATCGAAATCTTTTATATTGGAGTTCCTGTGAAATGTAATAGTGAAGTAATGAAAGACGAGACTCACATCAGTTGAATCCGTACTTACCTATGGGGTGATTGATATAGGGTATATCTTCAACACATTTACGCCGCTGGTTTTTATGTTTAACTGCCGCAAAGTGGCAAGCCCGTACGAAATCGCTCAAATTTAAACACGTTTTTGCCATACTGTAGAAGAGCTGTGATTAGTTCACGATAGATAGACTGTAGTTAAAAGTAGTTCCGTCGCTTTTTTGCATTTGTGAATGTTAAGATCTACAGAGAAAAAGTCCGTCACACAATGCGTCAGCAAACTCAGACGTATCGATTGGCGGCGATGAGTTTTTCCTAAATGTTTCGGTTGTCGAGATCTTCTCTATAGAAGAAAGTCTACGAACTCAACAGAATCTTTAATCCAAAAGTGTTTTTAATTTTTTTTTTTTTTTTTGTAAAATATACAGTTGGAATTGGAAGCTATTTGGAATATATAGTTGGAAACAGTGGAACTGGAATGCTTGATAATGATTATGTCATAGAATCTATATTTTGGCCGCGTTTCATAGTTTCGGTGTTTAATCAAAAGCTATGAAAATATAGAAAATTCATTACGTATACGGTCACCACAGCTAAACACATCCACTGGCTCTCAGGTCGTTTCCTACAAAATACATACACTCTGCTGATGATTTTGAACACAAATCTTATCAAATGATGGTATGCGCTCAACGTTTCCCAAGCTGTCGATAGTTCTGAATGTCTTTTGACACAAGTCCGACAATGATGAATCTATGAAAGAAGCTGTCGAAACTACGTATTTGTTAAATTTATCAAGTTACGTTGTTTCAGTTACGGATGTAAACATTCAAGCGGGCAGCGTTTTTGCACGTACCAGCTTCGAATATGAGCGACGCGTAACCTCGTAGCGTCTTGGCCCGCTGCTTATTTTCATTGACAACATTGCCCTTGCCACATGGTGGCATCTCCTCGTATGACAGCACTTTCCCTTCGAGGCACCCTCACCCGGCAAACTAGTTAGAACGGTTTCGGTGAGTCGTAGCCAAGTTGAACAGCTGGCTTGGTCGAATCGGAAAGCTTTTGTCGATGGCGTCTAAGAGCATCTTTCGGTGACATTAAAGGACCATTTTTGACTACAGAAGTAACACAAATATGACACAGTGGTCCTGAGAGAAACCGAACGGCGATATAGGACTGCACGTTGTGGATTGCACTCGAGCAAAATTTAGGCCGTACTAGACTTTCTAATTTTCATCAGTTTTTTTTTTCTAGTTTTCATCGGTCAAGTGGATTCGTACATGTTCCATGCGTGGAACTATATAGGTTTGAACGTAATGTTATCAAGGTCTAAGATGAAATTTTTAAGGTTCAGGTAGAACCTTACAGCTAATTAGTAATAATAGACTTTGGTTAGCTCCCATTAGAAGGCAGTGGGTAGCGTGTTTGCCTGCTATATTTAAGGACATGTGATCGTCTAGCTCTGAGTTCGGGCGTAGAAATGCGGGCACACAAATCCGGACGCTTCCTCTCGTGCGGGAAGAAGGCTTGTATTAACGCTGTAGTTATTTCAAACGCTCTCCCAAAAATTTTTAATTTCCTGTCAGGTATACAGCAGTGTGCTGAACGGCATTTTCTATCTCTCCGTCTCCGCTTCTCTTGCCAAGCCACCGATTCGGGGGTTTCAGCTTGTGAATTTAGTCTGAACCCCTTAGAAACAGCCACATATAGAATGCCATAATGGCCGGCTGCCGACTCAGTTGATTCAACGACGTAATGGTATATGGCAGTGACATCTGCCGAAAGAAATCTCATGCCCCTGGAGGACAGGATTTCGACTTCTTCAGTTGCAACTTGTCGTCTAGAAGCAGTCGGCTATTCGCAAAAAAACCCCTGCCTCCGCTCGCTCCCTTGCTGCTGTTTACTTGTGATCGTATAACTCTTGACCAATTTTCTGCTTTGGCTGTTTACATAGGAACTGGGTAGAGTACTCGTTTCTCGGCTTGCCCGCGGTAGCGCGGTGGGTTTTGTACTTCTTTAAACCTGTCGCGTTTCGCTTTAGGCAAATCACTTTCAGACAATAGCGTTACACCTGAAAACGTGAAGTGACTAAGTCTTGAGCTGGCAAAGTGATCAGGACAAAGAAAAAAGGTTGCGAAGTGATGCGCATGGATAGTGTTATTTTCCAATAATACCTTTCATAATGGGGACAGTTATAAAAGTCAAAAAGCATCGTCGGAGGCTTATCGAAGCTCGTAACATTGGAAAGGGTCGCTAAACACCGGTGAAATCACCGAGAGGCTCCCATGCTTAGCTGTCCCATTTTCATATCAAATTTAATGGTATTCCTGCGCCCTGAACACGACTATGTGTGATAACTTAACTTGTTTTTTGGTAGTTTATCGTGAACGCATGTTTTACCCCTTGGTCGCTTAAACGTGACCCAGCGTTGATCCCAGTCAAATCAATAACCCACATAAACAACTGCTAAGGTTATAATTTATAATGTAGTTTACTCTCCCTATATAAAGCAATTTCTAGCGTATAAGTTTCAACTTAAACAGCATGAGCTGGGCACTATTGAAAACTGGGGAGAGTTAAGGTATATGTATATATATAATATGTACAGCAATAGCGTTCGTAAACAACGTTATTTTCTGTGGGCGTTATATAAGATAACGACTGGATAATCAAAAACAGGTGACTAAAGTTTGAAGAGGCGCTATCGTTGTGATGGACATTCTAATTGTGATTAGCAAGATGGACGGATCCTACTTGATCGACTATGAGGACAATGCACTAAATTGCTAGCCAAACGCAACGTTTCTCTGGAACGTTTGTTCCTGCAGAACATAGGCTTTACAAAGCAACCGTTATGGAGCTGGTGGAGTTTTGCCTCTACCATCAATTTTTACGGCAGGTATTCTGCAGCGCTGTTCCTAATGAAGACATCGCACTAGGTCGGGCTCTTTCGTAATCTACCCTAGGTGGAAAATAGACCAAACCAGCTGAACCTCACAGTGATCAGAAGGTCAAGGATCGATATAAACATTTATTATACAGATCTGTTTTGTGTAGAAGTATTCTATCTGGCTAATTGCATCGTTGCTTTTCGTCCTATCAGGCATCCGCTAAACTACGCAAAGAAAAAAAAAGAAAGAAGAGCGATGTTTTTGGAAACCCTATGCTTTTAACATATCAGGCTAGTAATTTACATTGCGCCACTGTTCTATTTGTGTAGTATTTTCAGTTCCGTAACTAAGCACATGCGTGTTAAACATACCGTATAGCGTACGAATGCTGTATGTCAAAGCGTGTCCCATTTCTCGCCAGAATAGTGGGACAGCATTATTTTTCATACTAGAAAAAGTCAGAAAAAAGGGCAGGTTCATACGAATTTCTAATCGTTCCCTGTTTCTTCGGAGCCGGTCAGGACGCGGCCGGAATTTTCGGCACCTTTTGATCCAAACCCGTTTGTGAGCCCCACCAAATGAATAAATTGCTACTGATGTTGAAACATAAATAGTGGTAGATGTTCTATGTTGTTTTTGCTATTTCATCTGCTGTGCATCAAAGACAGCACTCATATTTTCTCTTAGCGATAAGCAAGCTCTGCTTTATTGGTTAATTAGATAATATATACATATATATATATATGGCCTTATGATACGCTGACGCGTGCCTAATGATAAAAGGTCGTTATAATTACCGCTTTGATCAAAGGCACAAATCCTATTCATTAGCTCACAGCATCGCCGCTGCGTGGTGTATAACTTAGTGTATCACATATTTTGTCCGGTGGAACACAAAAAGGTTAGTGCTAGAATCCCGGATGAATTTTCGAAAACGTAAGACCGTCGTAATCTATGAAGTGGTCACCGTCGAGAATCGTATGCTTCCGACACATTGCAAAAAATTTTAGATAAAAACTCTAGTCGATGAGGCCGGAGACCCGTAGTTGAGACTCTTGAAAACTTAGGAAGTTGGGTTTCTAGATATGTATCTATCCGTATCAGTCATATTCTGAGCGCGTATGAGATTAATGATAATGATTCCTTACTATCCTTTAGGTAATCATCGAGACTAAAGTGAAATGGCACTGCATAAAGTGGTAAGTATCTGATACTAGAAAAAATTATTAGGTCGTCCGTCTATTAGAGATTGTCCGATAATCTAGCGGATCGAACGAGTACTTGGCCTTCAGTGATTTCGTATTCTTTTGCTCGTGCTCAATTGACCGAATAGATTCTGCAAGAGTCGTCATTTTTCCATAGCTTGAACCGATCAGCATAATGCTTAAAGCATGACTTTCATTGATCTTGTTTTGTGTTGCATGCCCGCCGTGAAGTTTGGGGGCAGCGGTTTTATTGTATGGTCTTAATTAAGTTGTGATAGCATAACGGTGAAGTACTCGTTCACGAGCACGCACTTTATTTGAAGCTATTAGGCTGACGTAGGCGATTTTGTGTACGAGGTCGCAGCGAGTACCTATCAGTCTGTCGTAAGTCAGAAACGCAGTGAGGTCTTTGTTCATGATGTAGGCAAATACAGAAACTATCTATAAAAATGCTAGCAGCTATGAAAATTCTAGCAGAAGATAAACGCTCGCTGCCCTGTCACGTTTACGTTCGGTGTCATTCGTAGCAATGTTCGACCAAACATAATGGTAACGTAATTGATACGTCTTGTCTGATTTCTGCCGGGCTTCTTGTCAGGCAGATAAGATCATAATTGTCGTTTATGTGCTTTTCGTATCTTCTAATGGTATTCAGTGTTCTACATTAAATAAGATCGACATCTTCTCACGCGGAAGTTTGTTTTCAATCGATTAGCTCTCAACTAAGGTACATGGAAAAAATTAGACGACTGGGAACCCGAGTATTCCTACGAAGTGTCTATAAACAGAGCTTTTATAATATAATAAACAGATAGATTCTAAAAATTCTATGAATAGGGATCGTGTGAAGCGTACCTTAGCGTTACTGTGGCTACATTATCACTGCCTCGTAATGCTGAGTCTTGCCGTGAGAACGGTGCTCACGACAAATGATATTACTACAAGTAATAATCAAGCTATTCGATGACTCTAAACGCTACTGATTCAAAGCAGAATAGGTAGATTTGGGCAGAGATTCCTCATGGGACTGTCTGACACTATCTAGACATTACTGAGATCCGAATGGAAGACTGAATAAACACTCCGTCGGTCGAACACCAACCAAGTCACAAACCCCCCAAACAATATAATCAGACATTAAAATTGGAAATCTTCCAAAAGTAATCAATCGTTAGCTCAGCCTGCCCAGGAAGGCCGAAACGAGATTGACAGATTTTAGAGAGCGATCGAGCGCGATTTGCGATCGGATTCAAACAGCCCCCAATGAAATCTTGTTTTCAGCTCAAAATATTGAATTGTGGTTTCAGATTGATGAAGTTAATTCGACTCGGTAGGCCTCTTCTAGAGTCTCATCATCCCAGTTAATTGCTTCATTACCCTAAACCGTGGACACGTTACCTTATTTGATCAGCGCTGACTTGTGTCGTAATCATCACATTGAAAGCGCTCAGTAATTGCGGTATCGTCATTTGTAGATATGGAACGTCTACAAACTTCCCGCGATAATTGCAACATTATTAAACTAAATTGAAAGTTCACTAAGTTATTTCAATAAGAGCTAATCTACTTGTCGAATCGTCCAGTCGCTCCATCGAAACTGTACGCGGCAGTTCTTCGACAAATTTGTTCGGCTGCGTTGATCTATTTGTAAGCAGTAGTTTATTATGAATCGAGATGTTTTGCACGATCTTTGCGTATGTTTACATATGCATCATCCGTAGTTCGTGCGTTCCTTCGGGTTTGGCGAGAAGGAACACCTTGTCTCTCTCTATCTCTCTCTCTCCTGAGCCAGTATTTCTCGCAGCTAGAAGGGAAGCAGTCACCAGAAGGATTTCGATGCTGCTTGCACGGTACTAAGCAATTTCTCGGAAAATCAGAAAAAGTTAGTAGTATACGAGTGGACAAATTAGCTTCTACAAAAGTTCAATTTATTTGCTGCCTCGTATTTTCGTCTCTGAGCTGAACAGCTGAGGCTGGTCTTGGGTAATTACAGTTGACGTCACGATTGCCTGACCCAAGTTGGTACGGTGGAATCGGTGGGATTTTATGCTTGACGCCGCTTGAAAATGTACTTCTGTGTACGTCTCGACCTGGTAAGCTTATTCCTTATGCTGGTAAAATTATAGGATTGGTAGTGTGTTGAACTCGGCTACCGACGAACGACGCAGGCGGAGATAAGTTAAAACCAGTTCACGTTTTAATGCTCAGTCAACTCGGGCCACTTTGGTATAATTCATTGCCGCTTGATTCAAAATCAAAAAAGATTCAGCGCCCTCGCGGATAAGTTATCGAAGGATAATAAGTCAGCAATTCAACGGTTCTTTACGATTGATCAGTCACGCTTCTGCTTTCATCTCATGTGTGAAACATGAATGTAGATCACCACTGTCTGCCTCGAGTACGTAACGCGTTATTTCAAAGAAAAAAAAATACACTGTGCCCATAATAATGTTTTTCGGCTTCCATACACGAAAGCTTACGTATGGGAAAGGTTACGCTACGTTGCCAACGTAGCTTATTTGAAAATGTAGATAATTTGCCCGCATGTAGCATAACAAAGTACAAAGACTGGCATCTCAGTGATCGTCTAAACCAATGGCCAATAGAAACTGAGCGCCGCTATTCCTCGTGGGCACTCCCGTACGCCTTTTTCCCCGAATGTGGTATTTTGCAATAGACGACGCTATAATCGATCGAAAACAATTGTTGATTGCTTGAAAACCCAATGAGGATTGCTGCTGAACGATGTTGGCTGATTACATTTACAATTATAAACCTAACAACGATCCAAGTAAAACGAGAATATATATATAGATGTATGCTCTAAATACTCAAAACTCTTGAGCAGCGTAGCTGTCCTTACCTGAACAATAGAAATTTGCGACAAGCTATAGCTACCCTGCGAAGATCGTGTCTCTACAAATGCACCTCAGGACCCTTTTTCTATTCCGCAATAGGTTAGTCTTAAGCTGATCTTGAATCGAAATGATCTGCGTTTTTTGAACCTAAAACAGTTTTACTGAATGATAATTAACACAAGAATAGCAATCTACATTGCTCGAGAGCTGGTTCTTATCGTTTTATATGCTTTATCGTTTTATTTTTATCGCTGCGCGGCAGTTAGAAACCATGAGTTTCCCGACTTAAAAAATGACAGCATCAAATATGTCCCGTCTGTTGACCCTTGCAATGGCCGAAATAATGCTAAAACAGTGCAGTAGATCGCGGTTGTTAGTACAAACGACCAATACAATTTCGATCGAAATCTACTCTTTTAATTTTATTCATCAGCTGTTACTGTTGATGTCGAAGACCTTGTTTTATTGGTCGTCAATGGCAATCATCACGAGCTCTTAGAAGTATAACGCTTTCTTGAACGGTCGTCTGCAGATTCTTCTCACGTCCTACTGCCTTCAGTTGGCCTACTCCGATTGGGATTTTCAGAACGGTCGACCTGCATTACAACTACCAGCAGCTCACAATTTAGCCAGCAACTATCCGCTGCCGTTTTCAATTACTAACGGCGCGTACATCCCGTCAACGCCCGTGTCGTCATGGCGGTTCAACGTGAAAAGGTAACTCATACTATACTCCATGATAACTACTAAGAGTACTTACTAACGCTTAGAGAACCGGGTGTTTCAAAACTCTGTTCTTCGGCCTCAAAGCTATACTGGCATTTTGTGACTTACTTCAAACGTCACCTGATCTGGCCTTGTTAGGCTTCCATTTAGTTTCAATTCAAAAGTATCGAGAGTCATTAAACTTCATAAAATGAACTTCCATGGTAGGTGATGTGATTTCTAATCAATATATTTGGCCTTCTTAAATTTAGCAGTAGTCGGCCTCGCGTCGCTGACTAAACAAAATCAAAAGAAAGGAAAGATCGATAGAAAGTGACGGTTAAAATAAATTCATTCATTTTGTACATTGAATAATTTGACAAATGCTTCTTTGGACTTCATCAGTCGGCCGTTGTCGTTGGCATTTTTTTCGCTCGCCGAATTCCCGGCACAGAAAAAAAGGCAGGACGATGGATAGTTTGATGTAAACACGTTACTACAAAGACAACTATGAATAAATGGGTGAATCTGGTTGACGCCGGAGAGGGTACGATTACAGATGATTATAAAAATGTTGTTTCAAATGCCCATCAACAAGCTGTTATTATAGTTATAATAGTTCGGCAACGGAGATAAAGAGAAGCCCATTCAACCCACTACGAAAATGTGGGCAAACATTGTTCTCAAATTAAGGCGTCAAGCTAAGGTCGGCAATGTGTATCGTTTAAAGTTAACAGATTGTGCTTGTACTAAGAGAATGGATTAGTATTAAGGTAATAAACATGTTTGATGAGTCCTGTGATGGTGTAGTGGTAAATTGTTTGCATTTTCTAGGTTTGAAGAATCTTCATATGTGGTTCGTTCCGCACCGAGGGGACCAGCGGTTGGCCGACTCGATCCCTAAGGCAGTGTAATGTTTGCGTTTGTATAACCTCACAAAAAAAATTAAAGATATCACAGTAAAAACGGTGTTTGTTTGCGGCGCTTAAAATAAATTTACCGTCTTAACTGGAAGCTCTCTATTTATCAATAACTACACGTGCCATTACAGCGGAGTGCCTACATGGATCATTACGACCACGGAAATAGAAACTCGTACTGAATCTGTAAAGCCAGTAGATAAAGACGGTGAGGACCCCGATTCCCCTCTTGGACCTAATCTTAAAGAGGAGGGGGTAAGTTTTAAGAAATGGAAAATCAGACAGCTAAGATGAGCCGAGTGAAAAGGCATCCCCATTTGATAGATTTTTACTATGAAGAAGCACACTTTCGGTATATTAGAATAACTATTTATGTGTGAAACTCCTTGCGGTCTCTCTCTCTCTCGCTCCCGATAAAAATTCGTTTTTGTTTTCGCTTTGACTTCTTTTCTTGAAATTAAAACTGTAGGTGATGGAATCCTCTGGTATCGACGGCGAAGATGGAGAAGACTTTGATGTGGAGTTCCCAGCTCGCCATGAAAAAGAGCCTGCAGTGAGAGCCCGACCAGCGTTCGCCGATCTAGACAAGTATGAGGAGATGAGGATGCCTTCGATAAGCGCGAATAATTCTTTACAAGTCAACCAGGTAATATAAGTTTATCACAGGAACTCATATATATATATATGAGAAACGACACATATTGAGTTGGGTTGTCACCACGTTTAGGCCATAGTGAAAAATTCTGTTACGTTTCTAATAAGGATGGGGCCATTCTAGCTCACTATAGCAAAATTTCTCCGTGGGAGTTAGCCTACTTCGCTGGAAATAGCCCACGGTCGCAGATGTTTAACATTGTTTTTGCGATACCGATTCTTAGACGAAAACAGTGACGATGAATCGTACAACTGTGATGAAGATCGAGTTTCTTAATACTTCTGTCCTACCCGTTGTCCTTCGCGTTGATCCGTCACAGAGAACTAGCCAAGGTGGCAACGGTAGCAGCAGCAGCGGCAATAAGACGTCTGATAGCCAACAGCAAGCCCAGGAAGTAAGTTGCAAAATTCAATATTCACTGACGGGCAACATAAACACTGAATTCAAGACTTGAAGAAAAATCTTCATGAATCTTGTCTAGCGGTAAATTGAGCTGCCCCAAATTGTAGGACTACTGGATGGCTTAGATTCGAAATTGGCTACAAATATAAGTTGTTTTTCATGTCAGCTTAGAAAGTTTAAATGCTTACGGATGATATAATAAATCGTCCGAAACATTTGCCCTAGCACAAGTCCGTGTGTTATCCAAAACGCAGAGCGATTTAAAGCTCCGTTGTTTTTATTCCGAGCAGAACTTTTGCCTACTGTTATTAATCAATATACCGTACTTTAGTATAATACTTTATTGTTTTCTATGTAAAATGATTTCCTGAATAGGACAAATATTCGTCGAACTTTGATAGTTCATACAGCGCTAAAGAAAGCAGTCCACGTAAGACTGCCTATATGGGACCGAACCAGAGTCATAGTCGACGTTTTCCTGTAGAAGACACCGGTTCACAGATACATCCGGCTGATCAGAGCCCTCCCCAGTCCTGGTCTACAGACGATCTGCGATCGGTTTCTAATTCACCTGTCACCTATACAATCACTCGGCCGCTTCCACCAGTGCCGCTTGCACACAAACAGCTGTACTATCCTGAATTTGTTAACTATTGGAAGAAACGATAGCGGATGAGAACGCAGAGGTCACAGAACATAACACAGAAATATTCAGTGGAATAACGCCGTGATTAATGTCTTGTTGGAGGTTTGTTATAGATAAGCAATTACTTGGTATTACCATGCACGGAAAGAGATCAGTAAGTTAGCGAATCTCGAGTAATTGGTACCTGATTTATTAATAGTTGATCTCCTAGCTTGTGTAAAACCCAATGCATCGGACCGTGCATGTGGCCAGTCTGCTCATTTTGATATAAAATAGTGTACCTATTATGATAATCCTGGAAAGAGCGCAGTATCCGACCCAGAGATGGTCTGTGGACCCTAGTTGCCGACAGAACTTAATGAAGAAGCTCTTGAAATTAGCAGAGTTGTATGACAAAACAAATATGTACCAAAACTATTCGACTAACTATTTGTCAACCTTGATTACTTACATATGGCAGCACGAAATCCGAATAAAAATCGTATGCAGACGATTAGAAAAAACTAAAATTTGTGTGTTATCTTAGGTTTTTGTATGGTATTATTAGAAACACTTGTGGCACGTATTCACCGCGAAAGGAACGATAAAATTAGGTTGAGCCGCATCTGTTTATTCATCTATCTGAAAGATAACCTATCGTAAAAAAATTTCAAAAAAGGAACGCTATATCTGCGTATATTAATCTCTATAGCCTTTCACCTGTCACTTTCATACTAGGCAAAACTTTTCTGTGCCCGATATAGCATGTGTAACGTGTACCTGTTCCTGCGGTTTTTACGATACGCAAACATAGATAAACCTTTGTAACCTGTAACATAGACCGCCAGCTGATACAGAGCCAATCGCCTCAGCCGACGCCGTTTGATTTCAGATGAACTGAAGCAGAGGAAACTCAAGGATGGAACAGTCGGGCATTTTCTTTGCGTGCGCTTAATAGTGGTAAAAAATGAAGCCTTTGCTTTTGTGATGCGTGCACCTTGTACGTGGCAGCTTGAGTTGCATACGATATCAGGCATAACGTAAGGAGATCATCGATAACATTCGCATATGCCTGCCTGTCGTAGTGCTCCTAGACGGCTGAACGCGTCCACCTTCATACGTATACTAAGAAATAGTGCAAAGCTCACCTGTATGCCTCTAAATGAGCCGTTCAGAATATCAATAGAATGATGTGGCATACTTCGATCCATATACGACTACGATCACATCTAACATTTCTTCTGGCGTTAACGTCGAAGTGACTGAGTCGTGAGGTGGTGATACACGCGTTATTGATCATCGCAAAATCTCACGACGCCATGTTGGTTACGAGCTTCTCATTAGAGTAATTATTATGAAATACGTCATGCGTATTATTAGACTGAATTGTTGCAGTGTGCAGGTCACAAGCTTGTCAAGGGAAGTTAATAATTGCGTGATAGCGGTCAAAAGCAAATATAGTTCGGCAGGATCCCTTTAACCTGAACTGACGGTTGGTATTCTGTGTATTACGCAGAGCAACTGGATCATTCTAGGGCTTTCTGATTAGCTTAACGGAAAAAGTATGCTTATGCCTTTACCTGCTGTTAAGGCCGTCCCCATTGATTATGCGATTCACTTGCTAGCGAGCTACCGTCTGCCCTGGATACACCTACGCATAACATTATCACTCGTAAGTAGAAAAATAGGAATGTGACGCAATTAAGACGCGTACTTCGTGCCAAATACTTATTTCTAGTGGACTGTAGATGAGAATACCGAAGAACTTGTTCTTTGATTGAGTGCGCCAGGCCCATATTCAAACCGATGTCTCAAGTGTTGTCAAGCAACATAGCTCCGTCGAACAACCCAAATCCGTTCTGAGTCTAACTATAATGACATATATACGGGTGTCTGTATCAGTTATTAATGTATTATGTTTTACATACTGTTTTGTTACTTCTCTATCATTCCTATGAAGTAAGTGCATAAGGCAGGATGTCGACGAAATCATCAATGATTTATAATCCTCTCGTTCTCGATTGTAGTGTGTTGTGAGTCTCCAGTATTTAAAGCATAATGTATCACGTATAACAGTAAGGCGGGATGAAATAACACTTGGTGACTTGGTCCTAGTTTTATGGCCCTTACAACAAAGGGAGGCTCCTGCAAACAAGGCGTCGTGTTCACTCAGTAACGTAACGAGGTTCTTACCAAGTTTTCACACAGATTATCTTAGATACATTTACATCAGATGTGGGTAGACCACATGATGTAACTGAAATGCCAGTTCCCTGATCTAGTTTGGTAAAAAATCATGTCCGTCTTATTACTTTACTAGCGTCTAGCGTTGTAGACTGGTTGCTTGCTGTACCTGCACAAAATACTTTCTATGGTCTAGACAGAGTAGGACACGCTATTCCGAGTTGATCGAAGTTTTTTTACATACTCATTTCAGTAAGTCGCCATAATGAGGATCGCACCTTTATAACGCAAGCAGTCTGCGTCGCAATCATCTGAATGTCGTAAGAGTGGATTTGTATGATTGTGTTGCTTCACTAAAAACTATCTCATAAAATTCTCAAAAATCCCGCCGAAATTTTTCCCTTTACACATCGTGTGTGTATATGTATACGAATAGTTGAATAGGACTGCTCGGTTCTTACACACGCGGTACTGTACAGTTTAAGCAACACCATCGATAGCAGTTGAAGTGCCAAAATGCTCTCTGCTCGCTTCGCTTACGTAACCCGCGCGAAGTTTAAAGAAGAACTCCTTTCGTTTGCTAAATCTACACTTAGCGCTGTAGTGTAACATCCTTCCACGTACGACATATTAAAACCCGGTCGTTACTCTCAATACCGCCGCAATGATAGTCACATTGTGTACGCCAATTATACGCACTATATCAGTATAAAAATAGCTATTTTTTTTAGAAGTACTCGAAATGACTCTTATTCATATCGCTCGAGAGGCCTTTCCTTTATAAATTCATAACTAAGGAGGCATCCATCAAAGTTAAAGTTCAACGTAGCAACGTCTAACTTGTCAACGACATTTCTAAATGTATCTAAAATGGAATTAAAGAGACTAGCGAGCCAAGAGATAAGATAGCACAATATTGCTTTCTATCTAAGAGTTACATGATTCTAGCAAAATTATGATAGGACAATATAAAGATACTGTGTCAGTTCAAGGTTTGCTGTCTTTCGCGAGTCGACCATTTCGAAAGCTGGTGACGATCTTCATGACCAATTCTATCGTTTTGTACGTGAAATGCACGTGTGTCTATATTGACAGACGCAGGTGTCTGCCTGGGCTGCTATACAGCATGAGGGGGCGTTTGTTCAGGTTTAAGGTAGTAAATAATTATTGATTATTCCAGAGTACAATGTTGGCACTGTTGTCGAAGATGGCTGTATCGAATAGCGGTATACTCTGCCCGAGCCTGGATAGATGGTCCGCCACCACTCAGTCTGAATAGAGCCTATTTGTGCGTTGTGTCTGAGTGGTGGGCCCGTGTAACTGTAGGCAACTCGAGGCGTCGAAACGGTGCAGTGATCAAAAACCAAGGTTAAATTTGAACTCCGTTCCCTTTCATAGAACAAATCTACAATGGCTACGTATTTCCAGTGTTATGACGCAGCTGATGAATCGAGCTCTTGTTGCGTGCTTTCTTCGCATAGGTCTTATTCAATTGATCGTCTCGTAATTAAAGCACAGAAGGAGGTAAGCAGCATGTGATCACGTTACGTATTTGCCATTGGCCTATACAAACAAACTGAAAAAAAATACTTCGGTAAATATACATTATATTCAGCCAGCTAATATTTTTTAAGGAGTTGGTGTCCGTGCAGGTCGTGACATTTATATACTTGTTGCAGCAAAATGGTAAGTTTAAGCCGACTAACAAACATAGTAATACACCAACTTCCTTGAGATCTTGCGTTGTTTACGCATCACTGCGACCACTATGTAAATCTTGTCTCATACTAGATAGTAGAATTATCTCGCAGCAAAACGCTGACGCTGTACGAATGGATCGTCGTTGAAATAGATATCTTTTCCCTTTTTGAAGGTTTAGTTGAAAAAAAAAGCGTATTCTGTTGACGTCTTCTATCTTAGTAGCCAAAAATCGCTCTGATTATCAATCATATTTTCACCGTCTGACTTCTCGTACTCCTTACACTTTTCGCAACATGTACGATAACATCATATGAGTTATATAAATATAAACTACTTAGCTTGGACATAAAATAGCTGGCCATTTTTAGTTGTCTTATTACAACCCAGTTGTCTACTTTAGCTGTTGAGGTCGAGCCGTCATCCAAGCGGCAGCTTCCGCTAACGTTGAATTTAGGGGCTTGTCGAGGAGCATTAGTGTGCAGTCCGAGTTGACACTTCGTGCGGTCTTTGAAAACTACGTCAGCTAGGTCCTTCTCAATCGTGATTTTCTCTTCTTAATGTTCTTCTCTTCAGCTCAAAGCAGGTTACGTCCACCATACGTGGATTATGAATCTACAACGTCCAGCTTACCGCCGGTGGGTGCATTCGCGTTTTACCAGTTGTAAAGTTCGAGCTTTAGGCAGACACGCTTTCAAGGAATGAATGCTAATGTATTCGACCTTCCAATAGCTTTTCTTTGCCGTTCGCTATTAAATAGAAGATTAAGGATTAACTCTTTCAACCGATCTTTGCTACGCCTCTTGTGTGTCCTCCTGAAAATATATATTCTCGCATCTTTCTCTCTCGTCTCCTCTCCTAT